ACTGCCAGAGAAGTGGCGGGGGAGAATCTTGGCTTCGTCAGTTCACTAGCGCTGAGGTCTTAGTGTCTGTCCATCTATAAACTTTAGTGTTCCAGCCATAAAAGTAGGAACTGCTCCACCTCACAGCAGGATTGTGGGGGTCCTGCGAGATGATAATGTGCAAAATGCCCAGTTCACTGCCTGGCCCATCACAGGCACTCAATAAGTATCAGTGCCCTACCCCCTTTCTCTTCTCGTGTGGAGGTGGAGAAGGTTGCTGCCACCTTCTTCTTTGGGATAGCAGGGCCTGACAGGCCTGTGCTGTTTTTTAGGTTGAGAAGCAGTGCTTCCAGGCCGTGCCTCTTATTTTACTGCTAATTAAGCCCAAAGAGTTAAGTTACCTACAGTGTTTCCCCCAAAATAAGACCTACCCATAAAATAAGCCCTAGCAGGCTTTCTAAGCATTTGTACAATATAAACCCTACCCTGAAAATAAGACCTAGTGATGGGCATGGTTACGCAGTGTATCTGCACAACCTATGCATTTTGTCGCGGAGCGGTGAAGAAGATGAGCAGCCCTTCTCATCTGCCCCATGAGAGCTCTATTGCTCCACGTGAGAGATTGGGGCCAATGGTTCTAAAGGAAATAGAGTTGCAAGAAATTCAGGATGGCATTTGGGGTTTGGAGAGTTATGATGATGTTCCAGAAGAAGACAATGTAACTGTATTTGAATAAATGTAGATTGTTGTACCGGACTTAAAAAAAATAACACATCCCCTGAAAATAAGCCCTAGGATGTCTTCTTGAGGAAAAATAAATATAAGACCCTGTCTTATTTTCCGGGGAACACGGTAGGTGAGGTCACACCAGTGTGGACAGCCAGGCTTCTTGTCTGGAGGCTCACAGCACACAGTGTTGGCTTTGGCGGGATTCTAGTCGCCTGTGGATTTTCTTGCAGCAGGGATGCTTAGAAGAGCTGTAGCTAAGACAGAACAGTCTCCCTCTCTGTCTTCCCCCACCCCCTTGGTAAAGTTCAATGAAAAGACTCGTTGTCCCATGGCCAGGAGAAAAATTGCTAAAACAAAAGTCAAAGCTGTTGTATTATTTTAAAATATTCTTTCCATGTTCTCTAATGCTTTGTGGAATCTGTTCAGATTGAATTAACCTCTATTTCTCAGCACAACAATTCTTCTCATCTGCCCATATATGAAAGGAACTGTTCTCAAACGTCATTCCGTTTTCCAGTTAGAAATGGATCCTGTTCTTCAAATGCTAACAGCTGTAAATGCCAAATTGAGAAACAACCATTGAGATGGGTGCAGGCACTGACTTATTTTTTTCTTGTTCCACTGCCACTGCATTTTTTTTTTAAATCTATCTTGCCTGTTATTAATATTGCCATACTGGTTTTATGTTGCTATTTATATATAGTATCCTTTTCCTCATTCTTTTACTTTTTAAAAATAGCTTTTTAAAAGTTTAACTTACATATCATAAAATTCATCAATTTTAAGTGTACAATCTGATGTGTTTTGACAAATGTATAGATCTGTCACAATCATGATGCGAACATTTGTGTCACCTCCCAGTTTCCTGATGCCCCTTTATAGCTGATGCCCTATCACCCAGCCCCTGGAACCACTGGGCTGCTTGCTGTCATATAGTTTTGCCTTTTACGGAATGTCATGTAAATAGAATCATGCTGTATGTCGTCTTTTTGTGACATAACTGGCTGGTTTATTCATAAATAAAGCTTCAGCATAATTATCTTGAGATTCATTCAGTAGATCAGGGGTCCTCAAACTTTTTAAACAGGGAGCCAGTTCACTGTCCCTCAGACCGTTGGAGAGTGCGCACTGTGGGCCCAGGACAAGATGGCTGCTAAGCAGGACAGGCAGCGGAGGCAAAAACACCCAGAGGGCTGGATAAATGTGCTAGGCGGCCAGCATGTGGCCCTCGGGCTGTAGTTTGAGGACACCTGCAGTAGATCATTCCCTTAATTGCTGAGTAGTATTCCATTGTATAGATATATCATGATTTGTTTATCTGTTCAGCAGTTGATGGATGTTCATCATTTGGGTTGTTTTAAATTCTTAGCTTTTAGAAATAAAGCTTCTCTGAGCATTTGAATGCAAGTCTTTGTGTGGCTGTGTTTTCCTATCTTTTGGGTAAGTACCTGGGATCACGAGGTTGCTGGTAGAAGGATGAAACATCTGGTTTGCCTGGGACCAAAGGGTTTCCAGGATGTGGGACTTTCAGTGCTAAAGCATGGGTAGTTCTGGGCAGATGGGGACAGTTGGTCACCCTGAGCTGTGCTGTTTGGCAGGTGTATAACTTTGTGAGAAACTGCCAAATTGTTTTCCAAAATGACCACACCATTTTGCATTCTCATCAGCAACATATGAAGGTTCCAGTTTCTTCACATCCTCACCAACACTTGGTTGTATCAGTCTTTTTAGTGGATTTGTCGTGGGACCTCATTGTGGTTTTAACCTGTATTTTGCTAATGACCAAGAATTGTGAACGACTTTTCATGTTTATTTGTCATCAAAATATCTTTGGTGATATGACTGTTCAAATCTTTTGCACATTTTTAAGTGGGTTGTTTGTTTTCTTACTGAGTTTTGAGTATAAGTAATTTATCAGATTTTTTAAAAATTTCAAAGTATGAAGGGGGTATAAATGTTTTTGGTTACATGGATTGCTTTTGTAATGCTTGAATCATGGCTATAAGTGTGCCCATCACCCAAATAGTGTTCATTGTACCCTTTAGGTGGGTTTTTGTCCCTCCCATCCTAGCCTCTACCCCTTTGAGATATAAGTTTTGCAAATATTTTCTACCAGCATATGGCCTGCCATGCCATTGCATTTTGAAAAAAGAAATGTTTAAATACTTCCAGATACTAATGTGTATTTTAAAATTATGAATTTGTATGTCATTGTTTTATTATAATAATATTAATTAAGTATAAAAGTTAATTTCATGTACATTAAATGGCTTTGTTTGATAAAATTAACAATGCTTACTTTCTATTGATTGGTTTGGGTGCAGAATGATAATAATAGCAACAAATAGCTAATGTTTATTCAGTACTTTCTATGTGCCAGGCCATGTTTTTAGTGCTTTATATATATGTATATATGAGCTGATTTAATGCATACAACAACTGAGTCTATTGTTATCTTCATCTTCAAGATAAGGAAACTGAGGCCAAGAGAGCATAAGTAATCTGCCCAGGGTTAGACAGCTAGAAGTATTTAGTTTTGTTTATTTTCAACCCCCTACCCTTCGCCTACTCTCAGCGCCTTTGGTTAGCAGTGGTGGCTTGAAAACACAAACACTTCTTGAAATCCACAGTAAACACAAACCACATGCAATGGTGTTCATTTTTAAGAAATGCTAATCATCTGCTACATCATATTCTAAATGTTTGATTTAAGTGCAAATGTGTCAGGGTGGAAGTGGACCTTGCGGGCATGTTGTATATGTTTGGAAATAAATGAATATGGACTTTGTGTCTGCTCAGTTAGGAGGCAGGGGAATAGTAATAAAATAATAAATCACAAAGAAATGATGTAACACACATAGTGTCATATAAAATAAAGTGCTAAATAGCACAAGAGCTCGAAAGTAAATAGTAGGTTTAAGATTAGAGAAAAACGCTAGATGTTCTACGTTTTCTTCCTTTTCTCAAAAGGAATCTCAGAGTTAAAGCTATGAAAAGGGACCAGTTCAATTAGTAAACAGTTTAAATAGTTTAAAAAGGGAGTGAGGGGAGCGGTTCTCTGTAATGAGAGAGTAGGTTCTGGAAATTCACCCCTCACAAGCCATGAAACCTTGGCCAAGGTACTTCTCAGAGTTACTGTAAGAATTAAATCACTTCATACATTTAAAGCACCTGGCCCAGTGCCTGGCATGTAGTAAGTGCTGAATAAACAAGTCATTATTTTTACTATAATTTTAATGCATAGTAAAAAGTGAACTAGCTCAATACAGCAAGTGTGAAAAACTGTGGACTTTGAAGGTTGACTGGCTCAGGTTCATTTCCAGGTCAATTCCTTTAAGTTTTGGGAAGTGGTCCCCTCTCTGTTCCTGCCTCTGACAGTGAAAGAGCTATGGCCTTTTGTGAATTGACTTCTGGGGATTTGACTTTTAGCTAATTGAGTTTTCTGCTAATCAATGCATGGAAAATTGGCCTGCTCACCCTGGGTTTGAATCCTGGCTCAGACACTTGCTTACTGTGTGTGACCTTGGGCAAGCCACTGAACTCTCCTGAGCCTTATGGGAATACGGGGATAATATTAGGTAATTGAATGAGTTAATACATGTAAAGCATTTGGAATAGTGCCTGGCACATGGACTCAGTCTAGTATCGGAGTCCAAGTCCTTAATCACTCTGCCAACTCCCTCTTAATAAACGTGTGTGGGAGACAGGGAGGCTGGGAGGCTGGGAGGCTAGGAGGTTGGAAAGGGAAGCTGAGAGGTTGAGAGGCTGGGAAGGGAGGCTGGGAGGATAGGAGGCTAGGAGGCTGGGAGGCTGACTGTATGATACTACCTTATGTCAGCTGTACATGAATTTCTTGGGAAATTTATATATATTAATTTGTGCCATCTGCTAGACTGGCACATTATTAGACTGAAGGAATATTGTTATTTGGAATTCTCAGATCCAGTTTTTCCTTGTTCAAATCCAAGATATACAATGTGACTATGAATAATTGGCAATACACTTAACTGATAAGAAACTTGAGGATAGATTTTTCTCTTCAAGTTTTCCATTCAGTCTTATAGTGATCAAAGTGATGAAAAATTCCAACTATGCACACCCTGCTCGGAGTATCCAAGAAGAACCTACCAACGGGGGCTACTTAAGCTCTTAAGGGCCAAACACACAAATGGCATTTTAAGTGCAAGTGGCGTGTTTGAAACCTGAAAAGGTGGGGTGGTGGGTCTGGGGCGCCTGGAGTTCAGGGAGACCCAGAAATCTCACCCTGATCCCTACTCTTGTGTTTGTCACAGCCTCGCCCCTCTTCCTCGTCTTGAAAATGGACAAGATGCTTGCGGGCTGCCTTCTGCTGATCCTCGGACAGGCCGTCCTCCTCCCCGCTGAGGCCAGGCAGCGGCCACACGCGAGGGCCACCTCCAGAGGCAGACAGGCTCGGACCCACCCCCAGAGGGCCCTCCTGGGTGAGTGAGGGGCCCCAGCTGCGGAAGCAGGCAGGCGGGGAGCCTGGGGGAGTCTGGACGAGGGGGCTGCTATCCCTTGGGGAAGCTCTCCTGTCCCTGGGTGCTCTGTTGGGCGTGCTGGGGCCGGGTCTCATTGGGCACAAGTGCATCTGGAGTGGAAGGTGTGGTTGAACACAGGCTTTCAGAACAAAACCAAACGTTTTCTGTTTTGAAGCCTTCAGTTTAATCTGAGGCTTATGACTTTTCTCCAATATGCCAGGCAAGATTTTTTACCTGAAAGTATCGTTATTGGATTTATCTGGACAAAGGTGTTATGAAAAAAAAATTTTTTTTTTTTTGAGACAGAGTCTCACTCTGTTGCCCAGGCTAGAGTGCCGTGGCCTCTAGCTCACAGCAACCTCAAACTCCTGGGCTCAAGTGATCCTCCTGCCTCAGCCTCCTGAGTAGTTAGGACTACAGGCATGCACCACCATGCCCAGCTAATTTTTTGTATATATATTTTTAGTTGGTCAATTAATTTGTATTTTTAGTAGAGATGGGGTCTCACTCAGGCTGGTTTCGAATTCCTGACCTTGAGCAATCTACCCGCCTCGGTCTCCCAGAGTGCTAGGATTACAGGCATGAGCCACCATGCCCAGCTAATTTTTTGTATATATATTTTTAGTTGGTCAATTAATTTCTATTTTTAGTAGAGATGGGGTCTCACTCAGGCTGGTTTCGAACTCCTGACCTTGAGCAATCTACCCGCCTCGGCCTCCCAGAGTGCTAGGATTACAGGCATGAGCCACCATGCCCGGCCTGAAAAAATTTTTTATTGGATTTGGCCAGCTAGATCTGTTAACTATGCCTCCCCACATGGCAGCGGGGGAAAAGGGCATGCACACAGTAGAGGTGGGACTTTCTGAGCTGAATCAAGATATCAAGAATGGAATATGCCAGGGGTCTATTATTCTGGTCCGGTCTGATCTTTCAAAAAAAATTCTTGCAGAGAGAAAGGAAATTTCACGAGAGCACACAGACTATAGATGAATCAGCTGGTTCTAAACAAGGGTTCTGGTAAGCATAGCATGTGGAGGTCCTGGGAAGCTTGGCCGTTGGAAAGAGAATGGGTTATGGCATAGACCTGAGTTCAAGTCCTGCCTCTGCTGCTTACCAGATGTATGTACTGAGGCAATGTAACCTGTGAGGTTCGGTTCCCTCATTTATAAAATAGGAATGTTAATGCCAACATTGGAACATTTTTGTGAGGAATAAATGAGGCAATATATGTAAATTATAGGTATGTGGTGAGCGAAAGCTTTATCATGACTATCATTCCACAAAGTTCTCTGAAACTGTATATCTTATTATATCTTATTGCCCAGTCATTAGAATCTGACCTCTGTGAAGGCTCCTGAGAGAACTACGCAGGACCAGGTAGCCTCAGCCTCGCAGTTGCAATCAGGGACCAAAGGGGTCAGAATCTTTACCGATGTTGACTGAGCAACCACCCCAGTGATACTGCGTCTTCCATGTCTGCGGTCCCCTGAGACTCCCTGTTTCCATAGTGACATAAATATGTGAAAAGGACAGGCACATGCTTAGTATGGTAATTAAAGGGTTTTTGAAAACAAGTTTCAAGATGCTAAACATACCTGTGTATACAACTGAAAATATCTGATTTCTAGGTCATCAGCAGTGATTGCACAGTTGGGTTTCCGATAGGGCTGGTCTCTGGATGAACCACCACACTCTTACCTGGAAAGCACCCTTCTTCTCTGGGCTCCACATCTCTCTCTCTTTCTCTCTCTCTCTCTCTCTCATACACACACACACACACACACACACACACACACACACCACCCAGCCTTCCCTGGTGTCAGCATTTACCGTCCTCCTCCTTCACTCTAAGGTCAGGCTCTGATAACCCTTGTGTTCTGAGATAAGAGCTAGAAGCCTGTTTTGCCAAAGATATCGCCCCTGCATCCATTTCCTCATTTTGATTCCGTTTCCTCATTTTGTCCCTGAATGTGTCAGGGACAAAGAGGAGGGTGGGACACAGCGTGTCTCCCCACCCCCAGGACTGGAAGTGGGCATGCGTGTTTCTATTGCACGGGAGCAAGAAGCCGATCCCAGGCATGCTGGAGGGCTGCTTGGCTTGTGAACGTGGTTGAGTGAGAATCGTGAAACCGAAGGCAAACACTACAACTGTGGCCCGAGTCTCAAGTGCAGTCTGCTTTGGGCAGCGTGCTCATTGGTAGTCCTTGCCCGGATCATATGACCTCTTCCTTCTCAGACTATGATGTCCTATGTTTTCTGTGTGTTTGCTTTTCTTGGCTTTTGAGGGTTTTCTCGTTCAGAACATTGCCTAGGCTGCATTTCACTCTTTTGTGGCAAGTCATTTTGACTATGTTCATGGCGTCCACCAGCATGGTGTATTTCACTGGTTACTTGCTTGCAAGCGTGTCTCTGAAAGTTTGCTTAACAGAGTAGAAACAGCAGAATTGTTTCTTAGGTTAATTTTTTGTTTGAATTATTTTCTGGTTTTTAAAAAATGTTTACATCTTATGTCTAAATTCAGGTCAGAGTCTCAGTAACAACTTGAATTAGTTAAAAAAAAATAATGCATATATTTATTCACCGGCCCTGTGAATATCTCTAGGCCGGTCATTTGGCAGCCTGTGATGTCTGTCTTCGTGGGCTTATCTCTTACCTCATTCTGGAATTTCAACTTTGTGCCAGACACTGGGTGTTTAAGAAGATGAATAGGCACCATCAGGAAGTGCACAGTGTGGTGGAAGAGACAGGCACGTGAAAAGGTCATTAATGTGGCAGAATCAGTGTGCAGCAGTAGAGGCATATCCAAATTCCAGCTTAACTCTACCCGATGCGTGGGTGTGGTAGAAGGAGGCAGTGGTTCTCAAGCTTTTTGGTCTCAAGCCTGTTCCTTTTACACTCAACAATTATTAAAGATCCCAAAGAGCTTTTATTTATATATTTTTCTTGAGATAGAGTCTGGCTCTGTTGCCTTGGCTAGAGTGCAATGGCGTCGTCATAGCTCACCTCAAACTCCTGGGCTCAAGCAATCCTCCTGCCTCAGCCTCCCGAGTAGCTGGGACTACAGGTGTGCACCACCATGCCTGGCTAATTTTTCTGTTTTTTTGTAGAGATGGGATCTCACTGTTGCTTAGGCTGTAGATTCATTTCTCATTCATTCAATCTGTCACAAAATGTCATTTGGGTTATATTATATATATAAAAAAACATGATACAGATATTGAACAGATATTTAGTTGGAAAAAAGAAGGAGCATTTTAATAGCCTTTTCATATACTTGTGGATATCCTTCTTTGATACTACACCAAAACTTGACAAATGGTAGTTTCTTAATGGTTAGTTGCAATGTGGAATCTAAAACCATATCAATAAACTTGTGTACTCTATACACTCATGAAAGAATGACAGTATAAAAGACAAATATTAGTGTTATTATCCCTTTCATGGATCCTCTAAAAGGGTCTCAAGGACCCCTAGAGTTCCCCAAACAACACTTTGAAAAGGGCAGGTTTAAGGGAATCATTCCCAGTGAAGGTCATGACCATGTAGAGCCCTCAGGGCTGAGCAGGCAGCAGAGGAGTGAGGGTGCGGTGTGGCGGTGGGGCTTGGACGTGGCTCAGCAGATGGCAGGCTGTTCGCCAGGCTGGTGGTGTGAGCGGGAGATAAGCCGTGGTGGTGGTGGTGGTGGGGTCCAACGAAGAGTTGAGCTTCCTGTTGCAGGGGTGGGAGCCCATGGAGAACTGAGCAGACCATGGGCATCGCTTTGACTTTGCCTGCACAGACTCTCTGCACAGACTCAACCTTCTGGGCTGCAGCAAGTGGCAATCTAACTAGCAGGTGGCAGCCCCTAGCCAACGCTTCCAGGACAATAGGAGAATGAATGAGCCCGTGCTCCAGCCCATGGGTCCTTCCAGAGGGCACTGGGAGGTGGAGCAGAGTGTGGGCTGTTCCATTCTTCCCTCTGACCCATCCCTTATCAGCGCTACCCCTCCCCTTCCACACCCCTCCCCGGGCCCTCCTCCTGGGTTGGGAACTGGAAGCCATGTTGCCCCACCCCAATGACTGCCTGCTTTATCTGTGCATGTTTTTTCTCTTTGTTACATCCCTGTCCCATGGGGGTGGGGAGTGGACCTGTTGCCAGGGCAACCAGTGGGGCATGTCAGCCTTTTTGGAAACCTTAACCCTCCTTGCCCCAGTCCCCGTGTTCTTGGCCCCCTCATTCCACACACTACTCCAATGCCTCCAGCTGCTCTCCTTGCTTGCTGTTTCTCTTTTGCAACATCTTATTGACGTGCGCATTCTTTTCTAAACTTACCCACCTAGCTCATTGAAACCTTGAAACCTTTTTCTTTCGCTATTATAGATTCCCCTTTTGGAGCAATACCACCCACTCAGGATTTATGTTTGTGTTTTAAGAGAGCACTTTGTGGCAATAATTTAAAAGGAGGCTGGCCCTAGAGTCTGGTCAGGGCATGGAGAGAGCTGAACTCCCTTCCCTGACCCCACTCTGCCAGGAAGAATTCCAGAGGTGTTACAGGGTAGAAGCCACAGAATTTAGTGAAACTTCTTCATAACAGTTAATTAACTACTTAAAAATAAAGCTAATGAAGAAAATCTAAGGATTCACCTTATATAGCCCCAAATTCCGCTCTTTGGAAATCACAGTATATAATGAGGCACTTATTTCCATTTTTATATATCTCTAATTAAACCCGACATCAAAATATTAGTAGAGTTGCCACGTGTTTCATACGAGGAGCTGAAACCTTCTAAACTGGCAAAATGTCGGAAGGAGTTGGCTGGCTCGGGGAACTGAATGTCCTGCTCTGTGCTGCCAGTGGAAGTTTTTACCTAGGTTGATAATTATTTACGTTTTCAAGCCTTAGGTACCAGTAAGTGGATTTCTATGTCCGAAACCAATACCTCTGATTGACTTTGTTGGCATCTTCCGTGAGGTAGGGAAA